CAATATCGTCTCTAAACTTTTAATTTGTTTAATGTAATCCATGAACTCTTGGTGCATGTTCAAACTAATCCTTGAACTATATGAAAATGTTCAATATTGTCCCTGAACTTAGATTAATTGAAGGATAATATCAGATATTTTCATATTATCTAGGGACATTTACCGAAAGTTTAGAAACGATATTGCACATTGGCTAAAGTTCAGGGACCCTATTGAACAAATTAAAAGTTTAAGGACCATATTATATATTGTGCCAAATTTCAGGAACCATTTGTATCATGATCCATTTTTTACCTCGGTTGCATTTTCTACTTTGAAAATACAATTTTATACCCTCATTTTTGTACTTTTGTACCGAGGCACCACATTCCATCTCATAACAAATAACCATGGGAACATTTATTTACCAAATTGTCATTCTTCCGTTAAATACCGCTGCTAGTTTCTATACCCATTCATTCACCTAGAAACCCAGAACCCACCTTCCAAACCCTAACCATTGGTCGCCCCGGATGACCGTCGCCCACGGAGGTCAAACACCTTAGATTGAATTTGTCGTCATCGACGACCTCTGCAACCTCGTTTGGGTCGGTGGTGCTTGCCAGTGAGAGAGATATCTCAAAGCAAATCCAATTAGATAGACAATTTAGTGTTAAACTTTTTGACGATTTGACAATATAATCTTTCCAGTTAATTTTTGCCGAAAATTAATGACGTAGACATCGACTATCCTATGTGGTATGGCCGATAATAATATGGATAATTTTTACAATTTTTAATTAAAAAATTTCTTTTCTTTTCTTTTCTTTTATTTTATTCTTTTTTATTTTGACTACAGCCGATGAGGGTTTGTGGGCCCTCACTATTGCCAGCAAGAGCGTCCCGACCACCACCGACGTGGACCGGTGGAGAAAAATAAGAAAAAAGAAAGAAAAAAGAAAAAGGAAAGAATCGAAGAGGGGAAAAAGGAAACAAAGTTAAGAAAGCTTACCAAAACATTTCACAAATTGTCTATGTCGGTGCTGACTGTATCATGTAGGATGACAAGTATTCTTGTCAGCAATTTTGAGTCAAAATTGACCGAAAAGATTAGACAAATCGTCAAAAAATTTATGACTAAATTTAAAAAAATGGCCAAAAGAAAAGATTTGGGACTAGAGCTTTTTTGTTAAATTTTTTTGGTGGAAAAACAATTGTAATTGTGGCGTTGAAATTAAGAAGATAGACATACCTTCGAATCATCCCCTCGACACATGGAGAAACTATCGTGATCGTCGTGTCTCTCTTGTCCTTGCACGTGGAATTCGTTCGAATTTATTCGGTCACAAGAATTATGGAGGGAAACACCAAAATTATGCTGTTTGGGTGCTACACGTTCTGTAACGGCGGAGAAAGCATAACGCAATTATCATATCGTTCTTTATTGAAAGAAGATGGGATGGATGGGGATGGAAAAAGGTACAAGACATCTTTTCTTTTCTGTTTTTGAACTGTAGGGCATAAGTCATCAAAAATCTTAAATTATATTAACTGTAACACATTTGTTCTAATTTTTTTTTCTATGATACTAGAAATTCCAAACTTTTACATGTGTAACATATTTATCCTCGTTAAAATTCTAACAATGAGGGTAAATGTGTTACATGGATACAAATTTGGAGTTTTTTATGTCACAATAAATTTACGATAAATGTGTCGCAGCAGACATAGTTTAGGGTTTTTTATATCATAAAAATAAAGTTCGGGATAAATGTATCATAGTGGGCATAATTCGAAATTTTTGTGACTTTTTCACTTGACTATATCATAAATGAAACGTCGAAAGAGTCGACGACACTAATCATTTTCCTTCCCATCTTTTCTAATCAAAAACTCCCTCCGGTAATTTTCTTCACTTAACATCTTTTTATTATTAGGTACCGACGTAAATTACTCCATCGTCCCCTTGCATTATGACATATTTGGTGAGATATGTATTTCGAGAAAGAGTCGACGACACTAGTCATTGCTTCCCATCTTTTCTAATCAAAAACTCCCTCCGGCAATTTTCTTCACTTAACATCTTTTTATTATTAGGTACCAACGTAAATTACTCCATCGTCCCCTTGCATTATGACATATTTGGTGAGATGTGTATTTCGAGAAAATATATTCCGATACTACCTCTAGCTTTTAATTTTAGATCATTCATTTTCTTTACAATTTCATGTCTTTCTTTAATTTCCTAACATTTACACCTTACCATTTTCTATAATTTTCTTTTCTATAATTTTTTTTCCACCACGGAACAAATGTTTTTATTTCCATAGGATTAAGAAGGAATCACGCTTGATATATAAGATTAATTTATTAAATTGATATACCAAATGATATTGCATACTGTAAGCGGGTATTAGTCACGCACACCATATGCAACATTCAACAAGAATTTGTTACAAAATGTTGTATATAAATCTTTTTAGATCAATCTTAATATACCTATCATTATCCGAAAAAGGGCATTTTTCATAATGTTGTGGTGTTATCCATGATATAGTTGTTAGGTCATATGCAATGATTGTAGGATTAAATGAAAGATGTCAAATCACCACCATCCTGCGTGGCTCACTGTGCTGGCATGCATATAGTAAACCATGTTAATCACGCTAAAAACAACGTTTTATGCATAGAATACAACAAATTTTGTTCCAAAGTTATAAATTAAATTTGATTATGAAGATTATAAACAAAAAATAGTGTTTTTTTTTAAGTTGGTTGATGTGGCGCAATGTGTATAGGATGATGCGTAGTGATTTAAAGGCTAGAATCCACAGAATTTGTAATGGTGGTCGATTTATCCTACGAATGAAAAGTTGAGCATTTTTTTTTTTTGGATTAATATCACTTAAAACCCCACATTTGTATACATGTAACAAATTTACCCAAAACTAATTTTTTGACTATCAAAAACCCTAAACCGGTACACTTGTGATAGATTTACCCTAAACTAATTTTTTGACCACCAAAACCCTAAACTGGTACATTTGTGACAAATTTATCCTCCGTTAAATTGGATTAATATTACGGAAAATCACAAAATGGTACATCCATGACAGACGGAGAGTAAAACCCCAAACTGGTACACCCATCAACTATCACGTGTCCTCAAACTCAAAAATTTGATGATGAAATTTACCGGAAACTAATAAAAAGTAAAATTGTGACAGTTGTACTAGTTTGGTATTTTTCGTTGTCAAAAAATTAATTTAAGTTAAATTTGTTATAAGTATATCAGTTTGGGGTTTTTCATGACATTAAACTATTTTTTATGTTTGAAAGGTTGTGTTGTTTTTTTGTTCAAGACAAAATTTTGGGGGCATTAAAAAATTAGTGTTGTTTGTCCCAATTGCAAAAGGTTGATTTTTTCTTTTCCGGATTTAGTCGTGTTGCTCATGTTAATACTTCCGGTATTCGAGTAACAACAATGGTTGTTATTATTATAAATGTCAGATTTGTAATTGATTTTGTCTTGGGATTCACAATGATAATATATATTTACCAAATTATATAAAGAGTGAAAATAAGATAAGGGTAATGGCCATTACAACATATCGGAATCGAGTATCGGATTCCGGCGATTATAGAATCCCCAATCCTTCATGAGTTCGAGCAGTCGATCCCGATCCCGATCCCATCCCGCTACCTAGAATTCGGATGGTCGGGTACCCGATTAAACCCGACCCGCATCCATCCCAATCCTAAAATATGGGAACGGGCATCAAAAGACAGCCTTTCGTTAAAAGTGTGTACAGGAGAGCTGCATTGCTCTTGTTTCGAGAAGAATCCTCGTACTAAAGGGAGACGACACTTGAAGGAAGCAACGCGGTCCGAAGATTCCGAATGAAACGACGGCAGGAAAAAGGGCATCTTCCGAAACCAACGGTGTCCACGTAGGACCTCCAAAATTCACAGTTTCATACACGCGAAACCAAGGCGCGTGGGCCACACTACAGGATTAACACGTGGCGTCGGTCGACTCAGTCCCACGTGTACATTCTATCCAATCCCATCAACCTTACCCGATTCATGTTTGACTGTTCCTTCCCCCCGCAACGCGGTGTCTTGGCGCGTGATGCTTAATCGAACCTTATCTGCATCCATATACTTCCGCAAAATCCTTGTTCGAACCGAAGTCATCATGAATCGGGTCTTCTTTCATGCACATCCCACATGTGAATCTCACATGATCAACGATTAGATCTCTGTACTCTATCATACATAAGTTTTCCTCCCAAACATGAGTAGGTTTCCGGTGAAGGAAACGGTACAAAAAATTTTACTTTTTTGCTTAATCGAAATGCAGCAAATCACACACATCTTTAGACTTTTCTCAAAGTCCGAAATGCTTAAATCGTTGATGCATCTATTGACGTGCAAATTCGCATATTATTCTCTCAAAGGGTTTTTTGTTTGAACAATATTTTGGATCTGATGGAAAGACAAAATCCCACTTGTCGATATTACTTGAGCCGAAACAAATAGGTCCGGAGTGAATTTCAACGTACTTGTCCAATACAAATGAATCGGATGACTCGGATGTAATTATATAGAATAATCAAGTCAAAAGGTTAGACATATTATATAAAGAAACAAACATATATCTTTCGAAATTACAAAAATTAATTTAAAATTTGAAACGACAACCATCAGGTGAAGTAGCTACCATTCTCATGCCATAGTTCAAAACTCCTCTCCTCCGAGTACGAGGTTTATGGGTTTATGGGGTTTTTCCAGATCGGCCCATTAGAGGCCCGCCAAGCTTCTCAAATAGGAGTTCCCAAAATCTAGGAACACACTTAGCAGATCCAAAAGAAAATTGGAAAAGACAACCTTACTTTCTTAATTAAGTGTGAAGAGTTGCGTGTTCTCGCTCATCACCAAATATTTCGGGCCAATGGCAAAAGAAGGTAAAAAAAAAAAAAAACAAAGAAAGGGTCGAGTCAACTCGAGTTAAAAATGAAGTCACCACGTTCGGTCAAAGCCAAAAAAGAAAACAAAAATCCCAATTCCCCTTCCAAGGCGGGGTCTTCCCCCCGTCGGCCCGATTCATTTCCCCCCAATCGGTTGTTGATGCCGAGATTCTTGCGCACGCCACCTAAACTTAGACCCCTCTCCGATCGAATCCCTTTTCTTATTCCAATAAAAGGTAAACACACACAACACAGAGCAACGCATCATCATCACCATCTTCATCACCATCATCACCAGCATCGCGCCTATTCATAGTCCAATCACTCCATTGAATTGTGATCGAGCTTCCTTCCTTCATCAAGATTTAGCACCCGATCGGAATCTTGAAACCTGTGGCGCCCGACTCCTACTTCGCAGGTGTTTCTCGCCGCCGGAAATCAAGAATCAAGAATCCCGGCCGACCCTGTACGAATCGGCACCGTCTCTCGATCTCGCTCGTTCTTCCTCCAACAATCTGGAGGCGAACCGTAAACTCCTCGCGCACCCGCTTCTTATGGCGTCACGCCTAGCCCGGCGCCTCCCTTCGAACCCCCTCCGCTTCCCTCGCAGATCTCTGAACTCGACCCCTTCTTCCTCCGCTGACGCCGTCTCTCCCCTGAATTTCGTCGAGAAACACATGCCCGCCATCGAGAAATTAACCCCTGCCGACGCTCCCACCGCCACCGCCGCCACGACGATCGACCTGGACAACACCAAGCGGCTCTTCGCCAGGGTGCCGACCGCGAAGCTGCTGCGGTCGTCGGCCGTCCTGCACGCGGCCGCGGTCGAGCCCGTGGTCAACGCGGGCACATGGGTGATGCAGTCGAGGCTCATGGACGTGGGGCCCGTGCGCGGCGCCGTGCTGGGGGCGGTGAGGTGCACCTTCTTCGAGCACTTCTGCGCCGGGGAGGGCGCTGAGGAGGCGGTGGGGACGGTGGGGAAGCTGAACCGCACGGGGCTGCGGGGTATGCTGGACTACGCGCTGGAGGACGCGGAGGACAACCAGGCGTGCGATCGGAACATGGCGGAGTTCCTCCGGACGGTCGAGTCCGCAAGATCGCTCCCGCCATCTTCTGTCAGTTCGTTTTCTTTCTCCTCTTCTTCTTTAGATTTCGTCTCGCACGTGTGTTTCCTGTTCTTGTTTTTCTTGGTTTAGTCATCGTGGAAAATAACTGGTGTGTGTTCCGCCGTCTTTGTCGTGAAGGCAATTCCATAAGGACCCAACGCCGAGCATGTTTTTAGGGTTTTCGTCCATGGCCCTCTCTGCTTAGGAAGTTAGTATCGAGATTACTAGCGCCAAACTTACTATGCGTCTTGAGCAAATTACCATCACTTTGCGATAGTTACTGTTTCGACATGAATTTCGGTGTATTTATATCTTGGTGGAGAGACGTGCACGTAACGTAGAGCACCGAGACAAACTAGCATTCTTTGCGGTTGGAAATAGAGAGATTGCTACGTGAGTTCGTCCTTTTCTGGCTGTGAAAAGTACATGGAATCTCGAATCTTGAACGTGCGTGAGGAAGATCCTGTTGTCCCAACATATGACTCATCGACCACCAGGACGTGGGGGTGTTGAATGTTGATGGTGTCTCGTCTCGTCTCTTTCTCGACAAACCAGAGAAATTTCTCAGTAACCCACTTGCGAAAGTGTCGTTGTCTCCAAATTGCATTTGGACAAACTCGACCTTCTCGAATGACGTGGAAAATGTAGTTACTGGGGTTAATTTGTTGTTGATGAGTCGTTTTGATGTTCCCTAGTGATCCTTTCACATATAATTGTTCGTGGAGAGCCGTGTGATTCTAGTTAGTGTCCGAGAATTGTTCGCCGTAAATCTGAAGTGGCTGGTGCTGCGTCGTCGCAGGTGAGTTTCATCATCGCGAAGATCACGGCGATCTGCCCCATCGATCTGCTCAAGCGCATGAGCGACCTGCTCCGCTGGCAACGCAAGGACCCGTCGTTCCGACTCCCTTGGAAGTGCAATTCCTTCCCGATGTTTTCCGTCTCGAGCCCGCTCTACCACACGCCTTGCCGACCCGAGCACTTGAACCCTCAGGAGGAGCGCGATCTCCTACTAGCCCACCAGAGACTGCAGACGCTCTGCCAGAAATGCCGAGAGGCCAACATCCCTCTGTGCATCGATGCAGAGTACACGGCCGTCCAGCCTGCCATCGACTACTTCACGAACTCCACGATAGTCGAGCACAACAAGCACGAGCCGTTCGTGTACGGGACGATGCAAGCCTATCTGAAGGACGCAAGGGAGAGATTATTCTTGGCGACTGAGGAGGCTGAGAAAATGGGAGTCGTGATGGGCGTCAAGTTGGTGAGAGGGGCTTACATGTCTAGTGAAAGGAAGCTGGCACATTCCCTGGGTCAGGAGTCGCCAATTCACAATACCATCCAAGAGACTCACGATTGCTACAATGAATGCGCATCATTCATGCTCGAGAAGATCGCCAGCAGGTCTGGCGCGGTCGTTTTCGCCACCCACAATGTCGAATCAGGTGAAGAAAGATCGAAATCTGCTTTGATCGTACACGAAATTTATCCCGAGACCATGAATTTTCGAACCTGATCAATTTCTGCTGTATGTTTGTGGATAGGAAAATTGGCAGCGGCGAAAGCAAGAGATTTGGGGGTAGGAAACGGAAACCGGAAGCTCGAGTTTGCGCAGCTATACGGGATGGCGGACTCGTTTTCGTTTGGCCTGAGGAATGCTGGGTTCCAAGTGAGTAAGTACATGCCGTTCGGCTCTGTGGATATGGTGATCCCATATCTCCTAAGGCGGGCTGAAGAGAACCGAGGGATGTTATCGGCCTCAACCCTCGACCGGCAACTCACGAGGTAAATTGAATGGAACTTTCTACTCAGCTTCACCGGCAAATGACTCTAGTGTCAAAAATTGCTCGAGTAAGGACATGTGCTTATGTGATATTGACATTGATCTAAAATCTTTTTCTATGATTTGTGCAGAAAAGAGTTGTGGAGGAGACTGAAAGCTGCAATTCTTTAAGGACAAGAGAATGACTTTGAGCACATCAGGATTTGGAGAATTGTACCAGAAGATTAGAGGGGGAGAAGACTAAAAGGTGCTTGAGGTTGAAGAATATGTGATAACTGATTGCGTAAAAAGAAAACGATATCAAGGTGTAAATATGATGTACTCTTGTGAATAATGAAATATATCATAAAGTTAAGGTTTCACGGTTGTTGACTTTCTTTTATATGGCTGCTTGCCGGTGGTGTTCAGATAATAAAAGGGACAGAGCAATGCTTGTACAACTTTCAAGATTGTACATTTGAAGTTGCAGAAGAATTCAAATGTCCCTCCACAGTTGAACTGAACTATAATGTCAAAAATTTCTAACATGAGGAATTTATGGATGAGTAAATTTCTGCCCACCGTAAACAAGCGCTTTTGGGTTGTCTGGAGGGGTGTGCATCGGTCCCGGTCCAACTCAGGAATTGGACTAGACTAGCCAGCTCTGGATGATTCTTAAGGGGACCGGTCTGGTTCCCAGTTCCAAATTTTTGAAATCTTGGGAATAACCGGTCCATCTCCCAGTTCCAGAAAAAAGGAACCGGACCAACAGGCCGGCCAAGATTTTTTAATTTTTAATTCTAAAGTAAATCCTAATTAGTAAAATATATTTTTTTAATGTTGGAAACTCCCACTTAAAAATAAGAAGAAGTAGAAGAAAGAAGTACCAATTCTAGTACCGATCTAGTAACCAGACCGGTCGGTCCGGTTCCAAGACCAAGTGGACCGATTCCATAAACTGAGAATCGATCCTACTCAGTCAGATTCTAAGATTTAGGGTGGGAACTGTCACGCCCCAGAACCGATCCCCTTATTTTCTGAATATATTATTGACAAATCTATCAAGTACTTCAAAAGATAAACTTGAAATTAAAATGATTAGCTTTCTTGCTTTCTAATCCATTGCAGATGCCACTATCAGAGTACTAGCGGTTGCTCAGTCCGATGGCATTTTTTTTTTTTGGTCGGAAAAAAATTATTGCATTAACTGAAAGAGTTTAAGAACAAAAGACATGAATCAGAACTAAGTAAGGCCCACAGGGCTTCCGGTGGGCTTGATAACCAATTAAGAGGAAGAGACCCAATCCTAAGAGAATTCGCTATCCAATCCGCGACCCTATTCTCCTCCCTTCTGCAGTGGGCTAGGCTTAAGTTAGGGAAGCCCACAATAAGGTTTTTGGCCTCGTTGACTAGAGCTTCTAGATCCCACGAGCTTTGTACTTCTCCTCTGAGCGTCCTTATCAGCAAAAGACTGTCTGACTCAATCTCAAGACTTTGACCAGATCTAGTTGACAGAAATGTGAGGGTTTCAACCATAGCCAAAGTCTCAGCTTGCTCGGCTGAGTGCACCCTGACCATCTTTGCAAAGCCGTCCACCATCTCTCCGTAACGATTCATGCAAACACAGCTAATAGCTCCTTCCATCGTTCCTAATAGAAAAGATCTGTCAATATTAATTTTGAGGGATTTTCCGATCGGGCCTTTCCAGATATGAGGTAATGGATTTTCGGATTCTTTCGCCTTCTTCTTCGACCTAGCCCAGTTAATGAAGCACTGATTTTCCGTCATGGCTAAGCTAACTAGGTTCTTTGGGTTTGGCTTTTGGTTGCCAAAAACAGAGTTATTGCTCTCTTTCCAGATCCTCCAGAGGACCGTAGCTAGAAGGCTGAAACTCGTTGAGGTATGTTTGAATCGTAATAGCCATTCGTCGATACGGCCAAGGACATAAGGTGAGATGTGTATCTGTATTGCAGGATCCTGCCAAACTTGATGAGTCCAAGGACAGAGCAAGAAGAGGTGCTCCACGGTATCTGGGTGTTGCTTGCATAAATCACAGGTACTGTCCTCCACTATACCTCGTTTGACTAGGTTTACCTTTATCGGCAATGCATTCTGGCATAGTCCCCAAAGGAAAAAATGGATCTTTGGGCTTGTATCAACCTTACAGATCTTAGTCCAGAGAGCACGAGGGAATTGATGAGAAATTGAGGTTGTGGCTGAGTTGCTTTGTTCTCCAGTCTGATCTTGTTGTATTCGCTTTTTACTGTATACTCCCCCGATCTAGTGCTCATCCAAACCAATCTATCCTCTTTTCTCTTGCAGATCCCATGGAATTGTGAGGATTTCATTGGCTATACTCTCGTCACACATGTCCATGATAATTTGTTCATTCCAAGCTAGGATATCCCTGCAAATAAGATCAGAAACCTTTATCGGTTCCTCCCTATTTGCTGGTCCTCCAATTTCTCCCCTAGGCGGCCATTTCATCTCTCAAATGTTAATCTTTTCTCCATTCCCTACTGCCCATCTCACTGAAGGAAGAATTGCATCTCTTCCCATTAGGATGATTTGCCAACCCAACGAAGGACGATACCCCTTTCCTGCCGACCATAATTTTGAGTATGGAAAGTAAAGGCCTTTCAATAGCTGGCCCCATAGCGAGGACGAATTTTACAATAGATGCCACGCTTGTTTTCCCAACATTGCTTTGTTAAAAGCGATAAGGTAACGAAAGCCTAGCCCTCCATTATCTTTTCTAGTCTTGAGTGTCTCCCACTTTTTCCAGTGTAATCCAAATTTCTATTCACTAGTTTTCCACTAGAAATTAGCGATTCTCTTTTCAATGCTCCGGAAAATAGAAACTGGAATTTTAAAGACTAACATGGCATACTGTGGGAGAGTCTGCACTACTGCTTTAATGAGGGTCTCTTTTCTTGCCCTTGAAATTAGATTTTCCTTCCATCCTTCTAACTTCGCGTTCACTCTAGCTAATATACAAGCAAACATCTGTTTTTTCGATTCATCCCAATCCGAAGGAACTCCTAAATACTTCCAAGTTTTTTCTATTTCTGGGACACGCAATTCTGCCAGCATATTCTGTCGGAGTCTATAGGGGCAACTTTTACTGAAGTACAGCCTGGATTTGTTTAAGTTAATGGCCTGGCCTGAAGCGAAGCAATACCTATTCAAAATCTCAGCTACATTTTGACACTCTTTTACGGTCCCATCCAAGAAAAATATTGAATTGTCTGCAAATAGTAGGTGAGTCAGAGTGGGGCAGGCCTTGTTCAACTGAATACCTTTAATAGTGCCATGTTCCAAAGCCTGTTTCAATAATACCGAGAGCACATTTGTCACTATAATGAATAGGTACGGGGAAAGAGGATCATCTTGTCGAAGGCCCTGCGAAGGTTGAAAGTAAGGCAGTGGTTCTCCGTTGAATATCATACTGAAAGAGACAGTAGTCACACATTGCATCACCCATTTCACCCACTTTGAATGAAAACCCATCTTTAGCATGCAAGCTTCCAAGAAATCCCAATCTATTCCGTCGTATGCCTTTTGCATATCCAATTTATGTACCGCCTGAAACTTCTTTTTTCTGTTCCGGATTCTAAGTTGGTGAAGAACCTCCTGTACAACTAAAATGTTGTCCTAAATAAGTCTCCCGTTGACGAAAGCACTTTGTTCCGGTAAAATTAGGTCAATCAGCCACGGTTTTAGCCTATTTGCCAAGACTTTTGAAATTATTTTATAAAATTGCCAAAACAGCCCACTTCCAAATTAATTACACAATTATGTTCAATTTTGCATAGTTAGATACTTTGTCTAGATTAAGCAATTAACTCTAAAAATAACTTTAACCACCTATCATAATAAGGTTCCTCCACTGTGAACAGTCCCCAGAACTTTCAGTATTTACATATTCACCCACTTGGTGAAATTACAAATTTTCCCCTAAAGCTTATAAACTCATTTTTTTAACTGGTTTGATTTCCTTTAATTAATATGACTTAATAACCCACTAATTAACACTAAAAATCATAAAATAACACTGTTCACAGCCCCTCTTCATTTCTGTAAATTCGAAATTCTCGCTTACCTTGACAAGAAAATTACCAAAATACCTTTTTTATGCCTAGTTTTACCCTTTTCACACTTTTCCTACTCAAAATGCAACAAAACCTTTTAGTAATCTCTCAAGAACCACATAAACATGTGAAAAGCTTTTTACTTCAAGCTCAACGATCACCATAGCTTAACATACAACTATTGAAACTTGCTCATACATAGAAAAAGATCCAAACTAAATAAACAAACAAACAATCAATCAACAAAGCTCAAGAGTACTAAATAAATCATTCTAGCTTAGTCCTTAGAGTTTTCACTTACCCAAAGTGAAATCTTCAACAAAGCAAGCCTCTAACCACCTTGAAATCAAAATAGATACTAAAATAAATTAACAAGCCTTATTCTTTAGAAAACAACAAAGCTTATTTGATAAAGAAAAAGGAAAGGGAAGTCTAACAATATACCTTGTCAAGAAACTAGATTGAAAGTGGGCTTGAACTTTGATTTTATTTTATTTTTTTGAAAGAGAGTGGAAAATAGAAAGATTTGCAACTAGAAGAAGAAGAAGGGAGTGATGTCCACGCCAAGAAGAAGAAGAAGAAGAAGAGATGCTTTCTAGTCTCTTGTCTTCCAAAATTTTGCTACAATAAAGAGTATTTTGGGGTCACACTAAATGGCTTGGGTTAAAAACAATAATAACAAATAACTATAGTTACATTTAGATAAAAACTTACTGGAGTTAAAAATGCAATATGTCATGCATGATGTCATAGACTTAGGGTCAAGGCATTTCAATTAAGCATGTGGCAAAAATAGGGTGAGAATTAAGACATTTGTCCATGATAATATAGTGACAAATGGCATAGTTTAATAAAAAAGAGGGAGATATTAGATTATTTTGGGTATATAATAATACATTGCGGTAAATAAACGGAGAAATCGGTATTTGTTTGAAATATCGGTAAATCAGAAAATTATTTTGAAACCGCTAAAATCATTAATGAAATTATAGAATAAAAGTGACACCTTAACTCAATAAAAATTTTAATGTTTGAAAAGCATTCAATATGAAGCTCCGTGCTTATAAATCATTTCTTCAACTAATATGGCGGCAATTAATTAATTACCGTCACGCTACACCATCAACATACGTGTCAACCTCCTATCACATCGGCCTCCGAGTGATAACGATCACGGAAAATCATTTTAAATATTGTTACAAAATGTGGAAAATTCCGGATGTCATAAAAGCTCTTGAAAATGGCTGATGGTCAGAATTTTCAGCTGTTCTTCATCACGTTCCCACACATCA